ATGGATGGATGGATGGATGGATGGATGGATGGATGGATGGATGGATGAATAGACGGATGGATGAATAGATGGATGGATGGACTCCAAAACTAAAGTATAAAAACAATAATCTTTGTAAATCTGTCAACAGTGACATTTGGCAACACGCAGCCAAAAGTCAGAGTTGCACATTTTGATGGACAGTCCCCTTGGTTTATGTTAAAGCTGTAACAAACATTATTTAAAACAGACTAGAATATGTGGTTCCTCAGGGCTGATACCTTGGCTCCCTACAAAAATCTAACGAAATTCAAAAAGGCAGCTTGAATTGGGTGCCTAATGAACAGTTATGGTTAAAACAAGCAGAACAGAGATCATAATCAGTGAATACAACTAAAAATAGCTCAATTGTTGCTACAAGCTTAATTTAGCTAAAGAGTAACTAACAGCAAAGCCGGGGTGAGCAGCTGTGTCGGGACGTTAAATCTGGGTTTTATAAGTCACACTCCGGTTTCTCGGTGAGCTTGTTTCGTCCAAGAACACTCCCATCTTTACCAGCGTGGCCTCTGGAATAGGATGCGCGTGGCGGGACACAAACTGCTCCTTCAGACTTTGACTCATGGGCGAGGGTTTATAGTCCGTGCACGAGGCTCCGCTCAGACTCGGAGCACACTTGGCCTCCCATTTGATGAAAAGTCGGCCTTTCTGCAGAGGGCAAACCTCCGTGTTATCTCCGGAAACCAGAACTTTCTGACACTCTCCCAGCAGGTCGTCGTCCCAGCCACTGTCCTGATCCCAAACCTCGAACCGGACCGTGTTCCCGGAGGAGATGTCCCTGGAGCCCAGGTCGATGACCTCGTTCCAGTGTGGGTCGTTGTTGTTATTGATGACACGAGTACGATGCTCATCCTTCTCAGGGAGGATCACCTTCACGAAACCGTCTGTGGCGGTGGTGTGGTCTCCCCACAGACCCTCGGCCCGCTGCACAGTGATGATGACACGAGCCATGCCCTTACGGGTCGGGCAGCAGTCTGAATTCACGGCGGCTTCGTTGTGGCATTGGCAGACGCAGGAATCCTTGGAGTCGCTCTTGATCCCAGCCTGGCAGTGCTCGCTGCAGTTCCTCCACAGGCCTTTCTCCAGGATGTAGTGGCTGATGGCGGCGCGGAGGTTCTTCCTGTTAGGATCGCTGACGGGCAGCAACTCATGAAGCGAGTCCAGCGAGTATGAAACGATGTCCGGTCTCTGTGGGATTGTGTTGAGCCACTCTTTGTAGGCTGATGGGTTTTTGTTAGCAGAAAACAGAAGGTCTGGCTCCGTGGTGAGGCCTCCCTTTATTTCAGTGAACCTGTGAAAGAAATCAACTCTTAACGGCTGGACCAACATGGAGCTGGAATCTTAAAGTTTTGGAAAGATACGACCTCAGTTCTGAAAAAGTTGTCACGTTGCGCAAAATATAAACAGAATGCAAAGATTTACAAATGTATACTTTGAATCATTTTTGGAAAAATCATTTTGAATTTTATGGTAGGAGCACGTGTTAAAGGCACTAATGCACCCCCATACTATCAGAGAGGCAGAATTTTGAGCTGTGTGCTGATAATAAACCAACACTCCCTCTCTTTTTAAGGATGTAGTGTTTTTGGTTTCAGTTAAAATAATTTAAATTTTCGATTGATCTGACCACAGAGCAGTTTACACTTTGCCTCAGTCCATTTAAATGAGTTTTGGTTCATATAAATGGTTCTCTCATACGAATATTATTTGCATAATAGAGCTTGTTGTGTGTTTTCAGAAATAACGGCGGAGATAAAATTAACTTAAACAAGAGAATTGCCTTTTTGTCCGTTTCTTTTTTTAGCTGTAGCAGGTCGCAGGTCCAACAGAGTAGGAAGAGTCTGGAGAAGTTGTGGCTGAGGAAAAATGAAAAATGGAGTGTGTGTGTCTTCATGCCTGCACATTCAGACGAGGTGCTCATGTTCCGAGCATGCACGAACCAAATCATTGCATTCTGTTTTTGTTTACGTTTTACACAATTCCTCCCCCTTTTTACGATTTGGGACTGTTCATTAAACACAACGTGCAGTTTTATCTTCTTCTTACCTGTCACTGAAGAGGTCAGAGAAAGACTTCTTGTTCTCCATCTTGTCCGTTTCCTTCGCGCAGTGCTTGGCTTCTGTTTTTACCGCCGCTTTGACGCTCGCGGACGCCTCGACTTCCAGACACATCTGGATTTCCTCCGTCCTGAGGCCCTGCAGGCTGGCTTCACACTGCCTGATGCTGGTCACAGATTTGATTCTTCCCCCCAGCTTCACCTGGAATCACAAACACGCTCAGCTCTAATGTCCCTCTCTGCTGTGCTTCCGACGTTATCGGACCTCACCTTAGTGACGTAATGAGTGCCGAAGTTTTCAATCAGTTTGTAAAATCGTGGCTTGAACTCCGGAGAGTAAACTTTGGGAAGTCTTTTCAAGGCGCTCTTGAACTCTTTGTGCAGCTTTGGCGTGCCGGTCACTCTGTAGCTGTTTCCAGGAAGACAGCAGAGACAAACAGATCAGAAATAAACCCGGTTTTTATTCAAAATTTTAAAAAGTGTACATCTATAATTATTGATTATTGAAGATTATTAATAGAATTATTGAGCATGCACTTTGTTGTTGATCTAGAATTATGTTTGATTGTCATATTGGTATGCAAGAGACGCTTAGACTTACTTTAATGTAGAACATTTTAATAACAATATAATTTATTTCCCTAAGGTTAATAAAAAATGACCCTGACGTCACCGATTCTATTTTTAACTTTTATGGGCAGAATTTCTCGGTGCAGCCAGCGGGTGGAGGGAGTCCGGTTCGGTGGCCTCGGGATTCCTTCTCTACTATTTGCAGATGATGTGGTCCTGTTTTCATTGTGGCGTGAGCTCCAGCTCACTGGAGCAGTTTTCAGCTAAATGTGAAGCAGCTGCGATGAGGATCAGCACCTCCAAATGTGAGGCCATGGTCCTCAGTCAGAACGAGAGTGTACAGTATTGCCCTCTCTGGGTTGAGGGTGAGGTTGGAAGAATGGAGCGTGAGATTGACAGACGGATTGGTGCAGTGTTTGCAATATTGTGGACTCTGTGCCGGTCCGTTGTGGTGAAGAGGGAGCTGAGCTGTAAGTAAAAGCTCCCTGTTTACCGGTCGGTCTACGTTCCTACCATCACCTATGCTCACGAACTCTGAGTAGAGACTGAGACAATGAGATTACTGATGCAAGTGTTTTCTCTGCAGGTTAGCTGGTCTCTCCCATAGACTAGAACCAGCAGGAGATGATGGATGGATGGAGACAATCAGGTATGTTAAAGTATAAGGTACTGTTATTTAAGGGAATGCATGCTAAGTTTTAAACATTGCAGGTGAAATGCATTCCTTTGCAGAAAGTGGATCTTTAATTAAACGTAAAGCTTTGGTAAATTCATGTCACAGGAAACAATTTCTTTTGGATTTTAATGTTCCTCTTTTAAAATCCTGTGATATTTGATATAGTTTTAGTGAAAAACTAGAAGGTTTAGTATAAATCTTACCTGTAGTACTCGCAGGACATGCTGGTACTTGCAAAGCTGAACTTGTCGTTCTTTGTCTTCTCCATGGAGTACTCGGCCAGTTTGGAGTTGGTCCCTGCCAGCATCACTGATCCACTCTTATCATTCATTTCAACATTTAGATCAGTCTTCCAGTTGTTCTCCACAGACGAGGAGCTGGAGCTGACCAGAGACTCGCTGGATTTGTGGAGTTTCGAGGACACTGAAGCGCTGCAGGACTGCTTGGCCCTCCAGTCCACCACAGACAGAGGCAGCTTCTGCCAGGTGTTCTCCATGTAGGGGTTGCTGCACAGGGTGCAGGTTTTATCTTTGCGTTTCCACAGATTCATGTTGAGCACAAACGCTCCTTTGCGCTCCATTTTGGTGATGTCGAAGCCTTCACCGGCTAAATTGGAACCTGGAGCAAACGTTGCGTCCAGGCACTGTTTGGGTGTCCCGTCTGCGCACGACTGATACGTGCACGGAGGCAAGGACAAAACGAGGCCAGTGCAGATGAACAAACTGAACTGGAACATGTTGATGATAATTAGGATGCACACTGAAAAACAAAAACTCCAACAATGAGTCTTTTCTAGCCTTTTTAAGATGGCCTCCAAAGCAGCAGTTAAAACATAAAATCAATCAAATTTTACAGATATTGACCTAAAATTTGGTGTAAATGTGACTGTGATCTAAGCGCCACCGTCCAAAGATCTCCGTTTCAATTTTGCCTAAATATCTGATGAATCGTTGAAGAGATTTTACTGAAACTTTCAGGGAATAATCTCTGGGTGTGCACCGACAACTGGTTCAGTCCTGGACTCAACGCAGTTCAAGATGGCCGCCACAGCCAACTGAACTTAAAAAACACAAAATCGCTCTAACAAAGTCAAGAGTCCGTCCTCTTAACGTATCACAAGTCTTCCTGCCTTTCACCTGGCAATTTGGAGTTCAATCCCTGCTGACGGGATTGTGTTTTTGTTGTCATAAATATTCTACTTAAACCAAAATGCTTTATCTTTTTGTGGATGGCAAGATTTAAAGGAATCTTTAGTAGGAGTAATCAACCTTGTTCGATCATTTCAGAAGCTCATAATTTATATTGAGACACCCCTCAACGAGTCATCGTGTCTAAAAAATGGGTTTTTTTTGTATTTATTTAGTAGAGTTATTACTTTGGATGAATGTCTTCTGCTTGTATACTTATATTTGTTTAGAGCTTTGTATTTTTGTAAAACTGCTATGGATCCGTGACAGTTATTCAAAGAGCACAGCTTGTCTTCAGCATAGTTCCAAACAGTCATTGGATGCATGTCAGATGTTTAACAACCTGCTTTTATAGTTTTTATGGTTTTATATGTTTGTAAAACGCAGAACTACGTTGTAAGTCACATGACTGCACGACTCAGAAGTGGAAGCAAACGCCGTAAAGAGACAAAATTATAAAAGAGGATATAGATGATCGCTGATCCGTTTATCTTCTGCAACTGGCCTACCTGACGAACAGGGTAATAACATATTTCATTTGACAGCGGTACATTTGACTGTATCTTAAGCAAACGCCCTAAAATGATGCTCTTTAAAAAAAAAAACCTGTTTACTTAAGTTAATATTACATGTAAACCACAGGATTGCATTTAAAACCTACAAATTACATGTAAAACCATTAAGATGACGTGTGAAACCTATAAGAAACCTTTAGGATTACATCTGAAACCTATAAAGTTACATGTGAAACCTATAAGATCATACACAAAAACTATAGGATTACATAAGAAACCTAATAAGACTTAAACGATTATAGAATTGCTTGAAAAATCTTAAGGATTACGTGTAATACTCATGGGAATACAAGTGTTTCTACACGTTTCACATGCAGTATACCATTTACACACTGTCCAGTGATTGTTTCAACATGTGAAAACTAAATATTTCAAACAATAATTAGTTTTAGAGAGAACATAAAATAACTTATAACCTGCTAGAGGACAACTGTTGTGGTTGATCAGCTTTTTTTTTGCTTTCAGATGTACTTTAAAACGCACATCACAACAGTCGTAACTAAAGATCTAAATGCTGCCATCGTTCGGCTGTGACAGAGCTCTTTCGGCTTATTGTTGCATAAAGTAACCCACGGGTGGTCAGGTATATCTTAAAGAAATGATCTACGAGCACATCAGGAAGGACTCACCGATCTCTCTCCAGCTCACTCTGCAGTTCTGAAACTGACTGCTGTGAGCAGAAATATAAATGCTGGGGGTTCAAGAGTCAGGAAAGCAGAGCAGGAGGTGGTGAGGGGGTGAGGTGACAGTGGTCTTTGAGCGAGCACTGGAAAAAAAAAAGGTGACGGTTTCATGCATGTTGAGTTAGAGCAGTGGTCGATACAAACCGATGATGACAGCAGGAAAATCAGGCTGAACCTCCAGTCAGAAAGAAACCAGCCATGACCCCAAAATTAATAATCTCTAAAACTGCGGTGGGCTGGGATATAACTAGAGACTGCCTGAGTCGGCCTCCAGAAGACAATGTCACGTGATGCTTCAACAGCACTACTAACAATTACAAAATACAAGCACTGAAGAAACATTCACAAAACAAAAACATAAAAATACTAATAGTTTAAGGAGTAAAACAAAATTTATTTATTTTATTTTTTAGATATTACTATAGAGATTCAGCTATTACAGTTATAAAGTAAAAAAAAAAACAAATAGAAGCAGAAAAATGCATTTAGAAAAGGTACGTCAGCGTCTCCTCACTTCATTTCTAAACACACCTGAGTAAAAGCAGAAATATGAAAGGATTCCACTTCAAACAAGAAAGAGAAATATGAAAACCCACCCCTACGTCCTGTCTATATGTGGCTGTTGAAAAGAAAAGTATTTTATTGTAAAGATTTTTCAAAAATAAAAGCTGTGCTAAGCTGCAAGACTGTCGTGAGCCAGATTCCCTCTGTACGTTTAGATTTGTGACAATTTTATTAATAACATTTCTCTTCCATTGTTCCCATCCCACCATATTCCATTCTATTTCTTATTCCGATTGTTTCCTTCACCTCCCTCTCTTTCCTATTCCATCTTATTCCAATTTCTCTCTCCCCATCTACTTTGTAGTCCCTTTGTTTCCTATTCCACCCAATCTCTTCCAATTCCTTCCCATCACATCTTGTACGTCTTCCCTTACACTCCTTTCCCTTCCTATCCTAGCCAAACCAATCCTATCCTGTCCTGTCCTGTCCTGTCCTGTCCTATCCTATCCTATCCTATCCTATCCTATCCT